AAAAAAAAACGATAAGAACGCATCTAAGACAAAGAAAAAGAAACGTTAGGTTCCTACACAATTTTTTGTTAAAAGATCAATAAATGTAAAGTTCTGTGGCAATAGATAAATTTTTAATGACATGTAAAACGATTTTCAAAAGAATGCTTTTTTCACTTTTCTTCCTCCTTTTTGTTCTTCTTTTCTTCTGCGAAAAAAATAAACAGAAAAAGAAAAGAAGAATAAAGTATTGTAAAGGTGCAACTGTTGTAATTGGAAAGAAAACCAAAAGAAAGATTACTTTTCTGTTGTTAATCAATTTCTTTTGTTCGCCTACCCCTACTGTTTCAAAGTCATCAAATTCGATCAGTTTTATTTTAGCGCTGTATTTTAAGCAACAAACATTGGTTATTTGCTGACTCTGCTCTTCTTCAGCCTTCTTTTCATAGTTCCGTCATCCCTATTGAATGTGTATTTTGGTGTATGCGTAGTTTAATTCTAGGCTAAACCAAAAACCATAGAAAAGAAAACAGTTAATGAGAAAAGCCACTGAATCCTATGTATAACATCATCGCTGCCGTCGTCATCATCATCGTCATCATCAGTATTACCACCTTTCAAGCAAAATGTCTTTTTCCCGTTTTTTTTTTTTTGGGCAGTTTAAAAAAATTTTGTTATCTTAAGAGAACGAAAGAAGCAACGGCAACAGTTTTCATCTATTAGTTTTAACGCATTTTTTCTTTGCTGCTTTCTTCTTTTTCTTCTTTTTAGTTTATATCTTCCACTAAGATTGCAATTTCACGTTAATGAATCTAAAATAACAAACAAAAAAGACTGATTAACTGGTAAAATGAAGCGTTAAGAGTGTTTAAATGTTGTTGGGGAATAAAAGAGAAAAAAAAAAAAAGAAGAAATAACAACAAATTATTAAAAATAAAAAAATTATAGAGCAGTTTGAAACCAGTTTTATCATAATTTTTTTTCTGCTCTCCTTTCCAGTAACCGTTTTCTCCGTTATTTTACTCATTTTTTTTTTTATTTTCTAAGGTAGAAATCGCTTTTTTTTAACAACTTTTGATATTTTTCCTTGTTTCTTTTCTACCCTCTATTCATCCAGTTGGCCGTAACCGCACTTATTACTTTTGGTTTATTTGGTCTCCACCCTCTCC